ATGTCATTAATTTCTCTAGAAAAAGTGAAGTACACTATTCAGGGCTCAACTGTTAAATTCAAGAAAATTTGGAACCCCATTCTAAATTTCTTTGGCCTCACTAGATTCTGATTGAGTTTGTTCAGTGTGTGAATGTTTACATTTATGTACAGTACAAGCATGGCTGTGTGTGTGCATGCATGTATACTTCTGTATGTATAATTGTTTTTTCTCCCCTTTCTCTCTTCTCTCATTTGAAGACATACGTTATTATATACTTTTCATAAATTATTACATTTATCTCATATAGTATTATTATAGATAATACAGTTTCTTGTCAACCCTCCTGAGGGTTTTATGGATGGGGGGAGGTTATGTAATGTTTTTGTTTTGGTCTGGATCCACTGTATTCAGTGGTGTTAAACGTGGGAATAAGAAAAAATTATGCAGGCAATGTCCTCTTCACTGTATCGTTCTGTGTTATATATATCTGTCTGTGTAATGATAAAACATGTGGAACAAGAAAATTATTGCTAGGGACAATTTAGTAGTCACTGGATATCAGTAGGGACATGTCTCTAGAATCCCTACTGAATTCTACGCCCTTGAGTATAATCAAATCTATTGTAGCTCAATAAAAAAAAATAAAATGCAAACATCATTTAATAACATTTGGGGGTTTTGCTTGAAAATCTTTGTCGAACAAATTAGCCACAAAGAAGCAGATGGTGGCATAGCAGCGGCTTTCCACTGACAGCGCAAGTTTCTGCGACTAATTAAAATGCCAATGGCATTTCTGAATGGGATAAATTAATTTAGCACGGTTTAAATGTTGTAGCTTGAATTGCTCTTGCTTTTGGCTGCCGTGCTCCATGAGGTTTCAAACTAATGACCCCCATCATGCAGACTCACTAATGATAATGAGGGGGTGTATCCAGCAGGTAAACAGGTGCGCAGTGAGGCTGGGAACACGCACACACATATCAGCGCTAGCACAGCTTTCATATTTAGATTTGCGTGATTAGCAGGCAGATGGCGTGGCACCAGTCACCAACCTTCTCCAGAATCTGTATGTATGCCAGTCATGACACCAAATCAAAAGCTTTAAATAAACATAGTGACTGTTGCGCCATAAACTCCGTTTGTGACTTTGTGATCCTTCCTTTGCCTTTGGGGCATGTTCTCCGTATTCTTCCTACACCTTTTTACTTCTGTTTACATTTCCAACTCTTAGGGCTCTATCATACACCGGGCGCAATGCGGCGCCAGGCGCGACGGAAGTGTTTTTTGTTGTTGTTGCTAGTTTCAGCCCAACGCAGTTATTTTCACGTCCTGCGCCACATTGTTTAAATAGCAATGCATTTGCGCCCATTTGTGCGCGCTGGTCTGAAAACAAGGTGTGTTCAGGCACATTGCTATTTTGAGGCAACTAAAATAGACTGCGCCATTGACCAACTACTGTAAACCCTGGTCTAAAGTCAATGGCGCAGTAGTTTTTTTAATTTCTGTTATTTAAAGAGCGCATTGGTATAGGTGGGTCCACAGCGCGCGTACACTGCTTATTACACACACAGGGACGCACACAAGCATGCCAAATATAAAAAATTAAAGGATTACAATGTAAAACATTATTAATTTGTAGGCTACCTAAATATAAAAATGCCTAGATGTCATAATGGATAGTCATGGCATGTATCAGAATTAGGCTACCTATTTGCTCGCGCATGAGCAGATTCGTTTCCTCTCTGGAGATGGGCTCTGTCTTTGCGTTTGCAAATTCCGCTGTGTAAATAACAAATTCGCCATGGCGCGAGCCAATTGGCTCTTAAAGGGGTCATATGATGCGATTTCAAGTTTTCCTTTCTCTTTGGAGTGTTACAAGCTGTTCGTGAATAGATAAGATCCCTGAAGTTGCAAAGACTTAAGTCTCAAAACCAAAGAGATATTCTTTATCAAAGTTAAGACTCTGCCACGCCCCCCTAAAACGGCTGTTCTAACACGCCCCCACATATCTAGGTCACTATGTGGGAATATTTGCATAATGCGCCCAAATGTGCACGCAAAGAAAGAAGGCGTGGTTTCAGTAACCGCAGTTAAAACACGCCCATTACTCATTAAGAGAATAGGGACAACCCTTTTAGACCATGAGCCAGGCGCGCCGACCGTTTTTCCCGTCGTTAAACAAGCAAAAGTGGATTTGGACACGCCCTAAAGTGCACCTGCGCCGTGAGCTTTTGACCTTGCGCTTAGATCGTAGAATGTCCAAGCTTCTCTTTTCAATAATATTATACTGAATGTGCTTGTAGTGTACTTCAGTGGTGTAGTGTACTAGTCTTAAAATAAAATTAAAAAAATGTACTTGGGGGTATTATAATAGTCAAATTACAAGTTTTAAAGTACATTTTAAATAAATGTAATGTTTTAATAATCTTTTTGTCATAATTTAAAGAACTTAGTTTGATATGCTAACTAACATACTAAATCAAATGCAAAGTACTTGATTTAAATTTTAACTGTTGTGTGTTAATTGAATATTACATTTGAAGTAAAAATACTGTATTTAAAATGTTCCAAATTGAAACTTCATCATTACAAATGTGGAATTACAAATATTTTTTAAATACATGACACACAAGTTTCAATAGAAGTTACATTAACGTATATTTTAGATACCATACATTGTCAGTACATTCGGCAGTGCAGTTTAACTATATTTCAAAGACAATAGAATTATGAAATTAATATACTTAAGGGCCTACTTTAAGGCAGTCAAAAAAGCACTCTACAGCTCATCTAATAGCATTTTCATTTAATTGCAATTAACATGCAATTAAGTGGCCTGAAAACATTACTGTTAGATCACCCCCAAGTATTGCTACTTTAGGTTTACTAATTTCATAATAAGTACTCTTTTTAAAACTATGCTACAGCGTACTACTTTTCTCAAGGCCAGGGCCTGTTATGCAGAAGATTTTCAAGAATAATGACATGGGTTTCAGTCTGTTCCTTAAACAAAGTTATTGAATGGTTTCAGATGATTTCACCTGCATTAAAACCTTGCCTTACATCCCCTTTGTGCCCTACAGAAGAAAGAAAGTCCGGTTTGGAATGGCATGATGGTGCGTATATGATTTTATTTGCTGTAAAATTATGTCATTTTTGGGTGAACTGTCCCTTTAACATAATTTAATTTCAAACCACCCCCTGAACCATCACTGTCTCTTAACTGTTGTGTGTTAATTGAATATTACATTTGAAGTAAAAATACTGTATTTAAAATGTTCCAAATGGAAACTTCATCATTACAAATGTGGAATTACAAATATTTTTTAAATACATGACACACAAGTTTCAATAGAAGTTACATTAACGTATATTTTAGATACCATACATTGTCAGTACATTCGGCAGTGCAGTTTAACTATATTTCAAAGACAATAGAATTATGAATTAATATACTTAAGGGCCTACTTTAAGGCAGTCAAAAAAGCACTCTACAGCTCATCTAATAGCATTTTCATTTAATTGCAATTAACATGCAATTAAGTGGCCTGAAAACATTACTGTTAGATCACCCCCAAGTATTGCTACTTTAGGTTTACTAATTTCATAATAAGTACTCTTTTTAAAACTATGCTACAGCGTACTACTTTTCTCAAGGCCAGGGCCTGCTATGCAGAAGATTTTCAAGAATAATGACATGAGTTTCAGTCTGTTCCTTAAACAAAGTTATTGAATGGTTTCAGATGATTTCACCTGCATTAAAACCTTGCCTTACATCCCCTTTGTGCCCTACAGTAGAAAGAAAGTCCGGTTTGGAATGGCATGATGGTGCGTATATGATTTTATTTGCTGTAAAATTGTCATTTTTGGGTGAACTGTCACTTTAACATAATTTAATTTCAAACCACCCCCTGAACCATCACTGTCTTTGTGATCCCTCTAAGCAGTTCAGCAGTTTTCCCCTGTCAGTTCTCGTTCTCTTCCTCCAGAGACCTGTGAGTGTGTTGTCTGTCACTCATCCGGCACCCTCTGTCCATTCATAACCCTGTAACCTCTCGCTCCTTTTTCTTCATCTTCCCCATCTATGCTGTCTGTGGCTTTCTCCTGTCTTTTTTCCCCACATAATCTCTCCACTTCCTTTGAAAATTCTATTATTCTGGTCTCCAGAAATGTTGCTTTCAGGTGGGTGGCAAAATGTTCTGCCGCCTCTGTCCTTTCGAATTTACCATTTATCGGTTTATTAATGAAAGAAATGAGAAACAGAGTGAGAGATGAATACAAAATATGTGTTTGAAGCAATAATCAAACGAATGAACGCGCCATCACAGTCTGTAAGTGCTTATCCTAATGTGGCTAGTGTCCATTTATGTGCTTTTCAGTACTGTTATGTCACCTAATTAATATTCATGAGTCATGATGATAAGCTCTATAATCTCTCTCAGGCTCACTGTTCAGCAGCTTCTGTCATGAAATTGGCAACGTAAGTGCTGTACAACACCAAGTTAAATAGAACAAATTGTATCTCATCTCTCTGGAGGCCACAATGCCGTTCGGCTAATCTTATCCATCATTTATGGATGCCACATTCGTTCTTGTCAGACAGAGCAGGGATTTGCTTTAAACACGGAAATGCACAAATAGTACATCCACACGCCTGCCCTTTCCTTAGCCGACCACATCCTCCGCTCGTAATCCTCCTTGTGTCCTTTTTATTTTCCGGTATTTCTCATCGTGGGGCGCCTAGCATGTTGAGAACAATTTTGGATGGTAATGAAAATGCTAATCGATTTCTTCCGTCCCACTTATCACAATGTGCTCAATGTTCTTATTGAAATGCAAATGAGGTTAGATCCCAATGTGAAAACATTTGAGTGAGAGAGCCTTAATCAGCAGGCAATTATCAGTTTGCAATATTTAAAACGTCATTGCTAACTTGCATCCGGAAATGTCAGTGCTTTGTTAATTGCCTTTTTTATTCTCTAGGCAGAATAAAAACAGGTGGGTTTGGGGTAGAGTACCTCTCGTAGGTAACAGGAAATCCCTCGCAGTGCTGCTCCCATGGCTGTAGGAGAGGGAAGCTGGCAGATACAGAGAGAAAGGAGACAGAGATGAAGTGAGCAGAGCCTCTGTGTGTATTTGTCACTGGCTACATTCATACAGTCAGTGCTTTACATTGATAACAGATGTGACTCTCAAATGGCCTTGTTCATACAACAGTATATAAGAGCTGATTGAATGTCTGTACGAAACACACTGTTCTGAAATCAGGAGGCAAAGTCCTCACTGTTTTTTATAATGTAAATTCATCTTCCAGTTACATATAATATTGACACATTTGTCAGGTTTAATAAATAAACATGACTTCCATTAACAAAGTAATTAATGTTCTGTTCTTTAAAATTATGTATGTAGTATATTTATCAACAAGTAAGTGTTTTTAAAGCATTTTTACACTTATTCCAAAGTAATAACTATAAGATCTGTAACACATTTCATATTTTATGTATATTTTATTTGTTAACTAATGTTCAGCTGTTCTTTTTTTTTGATAGATTTGAACTTATTTTTGGATCATCAGCCATCAAAGTTCGGTTTGCAGGTGTCATGATGGTCACAGACACATGAAGATGTACCTTTAATTAATTGCTCAATGAAAACCTTACAGGTTGTGCTTTTAAGTCATTTCTGGTTCGTTTTTGATGCACCACAGCTGGGTAAACAGCTTATTGTTTACTTATTTTTTAATTAGTCTTTCCGTTAACACTATTTTATTTTAATTCAGGCTATTTTGTGGATGCGGAAGGCACACAAAAATGAGGCCAATCACAGCACAAAGGAGGCACTGCCTTTTATCATTTGACTTTTCCTTACTGATTTTCAGGGTCACTTTAGAAAAAACTGTTGAATTATTCTAATGTCTATTTCACATTATTTGTATTGTTTTATTTTTGTACAGTGAATTATTTTCTCATCCACTTTTTATGAGGAGGCACTACCTCCCTTGCCTCCTCAGAGGAAATGCCCCTATGAGCGAATAACCAAAATCAAGCTCCTTTTCTAATCTCACAATAGCTGTGACTTCCTTAAACTGATTTAAGTAAACAAGAAAGATGGGATGCTTCATAACTCGGGAAGGTCTTATCACAATTGACATGTTACTTAATAAACATGTCGAGTCGAGGTGCAAGTTCATCCATCAATTCTAAATTAACCAATAGCAACTTGGAATGCATTTTATTTTTAGCTAAGTGTACAGCGCAGCATTTAGGTCGTGCCAAAACTGCAAAATTTATAAAAGTAGCTTTCATGAAAGACATATCTCGATGTATAAGGTAACTTACTGTATACTATCATATTTTGTCCATGCAACTTAGCTAGTTTTATTTGAAATAATAAAAAAAAATATATATATTATTATACATTTCAACTAATTTACCATCAATACAAACACTTCATCCATTGTCTTCTTACTAATACACCCCAAAACTTTAGGCTCAAAGAAATCTGTCTGTCTGTCTGTCTGTCTATCTCTCTGTCTGTCTGTCTGTCTCTGTGTGTCTGTCTGTCTAACTATCTACAGCATTAACTGGTGAAGATTAGCTAGAACAGGCTTATATTAATTACATTCAGATCAGTCATTGATCACAATGTTGCATTAACGTCAGGTACTCTTCTCACAGACTCAAAAAGAAACAGTAGGTATGTATGTCTTACAGGTGGTGGATGTTCTAAACAGATGTAGAAACGTTTCGTCTGGTCTGGTTTCACACGTCGCAGGGCCACACGAGACTCTCCAATAAACTCATTGTGAGTCAGTTTATCCTCATCGCACACCGATAACCTGAGAAAAACAACAACAACATAAAAAAGAAAGCGAGAGAGTTATTCAATTATACTGGAAGGAGGGCAAAGATAAACATGAAAGTTGTAAATGTAGTATGGGCGAAAGTGATAAAAAGGCAATAAAAATATCTTCCGCAGAGCAGCAGTAGCTGGAAATGGCTCAGACAAAAATGTATATTTATGAATGGGATTAGGATGATATTTCTGGCTCTTTTTTTCCAAAGGTTTGCTTGAGTGTTTGCGGAATCGACTCCCTTCTCTGCTCCTGTACTCTCCCTTGGAGATAAACGGCTAAATGACTTTTCTCTGACTACTGTCACCCCGCCATTGAAAAAAAGGGCAAGTTTGAAAATACCAGCAGTCCTAGTCCCAGGTTGCCAGGGGATACTGTTCATTTATATCACGAGCACACAGGTAATTTTCTGTGGATAATCGCAGGATAAAGCCGAGTGCTACAGCAGTCACTCCACCTCTGGCGAGGTTCCTTGGAGATGATGGGGCTGAAGAGTGCCTTTCAGCACTGCAAAAATATACAGCCTAAATATGTGCCGACTTTCCAAGGCACGCACAACAGTAAATGTACCCAGAAACTTGATCATTCCTGAAGGTTCATAAGCGACAGGAGTTCTGCTAAGCAGGCACACTTTCTGTCACACACCTACACACCTACTGTCGAAGCAAGATATTCTCAAATATCAAGGCTACTCTCAAATAACTGCTCTCCGAGAGGAAAATTTTAAAGAAATATCCAGAATAGAATCACAGCCCACTTGGAGTCACCCATAAAGAGATATTCAAGAATGCACAGATGTCTTCACTAACCTCAGAGTCTTCCTGAGCATGTCCTCCTCTGTGATGCCAATGTAAGTGAGAGTCTCATTCCAAACAGGATTTAGAGAATTACGTACAGTTTTGGTTTTCAGTTTATTCGCCTGTGGGTATAAAACACTTTGAATAAATTAATAAATAAAGAGTGAAGTTTATATCTTAATATCTTAATCCTCTAATATTCACACACACACTAAATATGGGGTCAATAGGATTTAGAATTTTTTTAATCATATTTTTTATTCAGTAAGGACACATTAAATTGATCGAAAGTAAAGAAATTAATAATTAAATAAACGCTGTTCTTTCAAATAACGGTGTTCTATTCATCAAATCCTGAAAAAAAATGTATTATGGTTTAACAAAAATATTTAAAAAATGTATTTAGCACTAAATCAGAATATCAGGATTATTTGACACTAAATCATGTGACACTAAATCAAATAAATGCAGCCTTGTTGATCATAAGAGACTTCTTTCAAACATCAAACACAGTTAAAAATCTTCCTAGCCCCAAACTTTGGAATGGTAGTATATATATATATATATATATATATATAAATGCTATAAAACCTTTTGAGCAGTAGTTGTTTCTGAAATAAAAGTAGTAGATATTTCAGAGGTACTTAGCATGTAATCACAGTGTCATGTTTCTTCATTTTGATTATATTTTCATAAACAAAAACTTAATATGATTTAATATGATTTCCAAAAATATTTGGAAATTCCCCTCTAATTTATGTTTTTGGCTAGACTCCTTAATGCCACTGAAGGCAATTTTGGGGACAGTTTGGGGAGCGTGCTTGTCTGTTCCAGCATGATAATACTGTGCACAAAGCAAGATCTATAATGAAATGGTGTAGAAAAACGTGACAGGCACAAAGCCCAGACCCGGCTCCCAATGAACACTACTGGGATGAATTGGAACGTAGACTATCAGTCAGGCCCCATCACCCAACATCAATGCCTCTCTGATGCTCTTGTGTCTGAATGAGCGCAAATCCCAGCATCCCCTCCCAAGATCATCTCTCTATTAATTCCCATAGTTTTGCGAGTAAATGTTCAACAAGCACATACAGTATGGGTTTGTTTTTTGGGCATCCATATATTTTTGACCATATAAAGAGGACACTTACATAGAATTAGGTCATATAGGTCAAAGGTCATGTTTTGTTTTAGATTTGTAAATGTAATTGCTCCAAACAGGACTCGCCCACCTTACATGCTCCTGGTAGAAGATGAAGTTTGACATAAGGATCTGCCAAGCCATTAAAATCCATAGGTTTCAGACCCTACACCAAAAAACAAACAATTTATTAGACAAAATCTGCTGAATAAAAAATATAAAGAAACAACAGTATGGAGCTCTGTTGAAGCAGAACAAACTGCTAAAGGGTAAATCACCTGCAGGTTTTGGAGTGTGAGTCACGAATAGGTGTGAGTGTGTAGTGAACTGCAGAGGTGTGAGGCAGACGTTACCTTGGCTCTGATGATGGTACAGTGGAGGGAACTGGTTGCTCTCTCATACCTCAGTTCAAATTCTAATGTCCCCAGTGCAGCTACACAATAATAGGAATGATAGTATAAATGTTAATAACATCTATACCATAAACCTGACAGAAAGCAGATTAAACAATCCATCATGCAGTACAATTATGAGGCATGCATATCTGATAGATTGCAGCAAATTGCAATATTAAGCCTGTACAATTTATTTTGCCAATGCAAAGCACAATTATTAGCATAATAATTCACATTTAATTTTTGCCAGGCAGTATAAAGAAAAAAACTTTATAGAGTTTAAATAAGATAATATGACAAACAAAATACCTTGCTATGTTCAAAAGCTATGTATTCCTTCAAGGCATATACCTGGTAGGATGTCTATTTGTGGACTGACATTACCGTATGGATAATATATTTAAAACAATAAAATACCTAATTATATTACATTCTACGCCTAACTTCTAAAATGTTTATATGACCTGTTCCATCGCTGTTTTGTCCTCAAAGCCATTTTGAGCTGTAGCTATGAACTACAAAAGGAAAGTATCCACTTTCTATTCCAAACCTAACTTGTTTTTTTTGTTTAGTTTTTTTAGTACAAGGCCTCATAAGATTCCTTTTCAGGCATTTTTTGACAGGAGATTACATTTTCTGACATAACTTGGAGATTTACTTAAACATACACTACAGATAACAGGTACAATTATAATTTAAAATATAGTTTTATTGTAAATATAGTTATATAGTATATTTATGATTTTACGATTAGTTTTTATCTAAAGTCCTAAATAACAAGCAGCTATGGACATTAAATTACTTCCCTGATGTAAATGTACCGTCAGGAGACATACTGTATTATTTTGTTAACGTCTTTAGTTTCCACGGTTGATTTCCACGGCAATTACTTGAAAAATTATACATTAAAGTAATCCGTTACGTCAAATTAAAGAGTATCAAAATGCATTTATTGTTTAAATCTTATGTATATTGTATATTTCACCTTTTTATTTAATATGAATTCATGTTTTTTTTAGAAGATGCTGCGGAGGGTCTCATCATATCACGTCTGTGTCCACTCTCTGCCACGTTACTCGACAGGCATCGCTAAAATGCATGGTCTCTCAAAACTCCCATTATGCACTCACATGTGATTCACTAGCTAAGAGGGCACAGTACAACTTATGTAACCTGATTATACTTTCATGATATACCTTACAGTTACAGTTGTGTATTGATGTGTGACTAAAGAGTGTCCCTCGGATGGTGTGTGTGATCCTGTAGGTAGTTAAGCACACAATATGTCATAACATACTACTGTCATCGCTGTCTGAACTGCAGATGTCCACCGATGTCTCAATGCTGCTTGCTGCTGACAGAGTCCCACCCCCTCCTCTGGCCCCTGCCTGCAGAGGGGACAAGAGACCTGCACTCGTTCCTCCAGAGGCCCCAACCCCCGGGCTGAGAGCCAGTGGAGAAGCAGGGTTAGGAGAGATAGGCTCAGCGGTCGGGGAGAGTCGAGGGAAATAGGCAGAGATCTGTCTAATTGGTCGTATGGGGCCGGGACAGACGTCTATGGCCATGTGTTCCTGGATGGAGATGGTGAGCTTTTTTCCCTTACGCACCGTCATAGAGCTAAAGCAGAGAAATAGAGTGTTATTTTGACACTTATTAGACGGTCGATAATCCAAAACGACTTCAAGTACACAGACAATTCCACAAGAGCCACCTGCGGTACAGGGATAGTTCACGCAAATATGATAATTCTGCCTTCATTTACTCACCTTCATGTCGTTCCAAACCTGTATGACTGATATTCTACAATGGAAGTCAGTGAGGTCCTAAACAACACTGGATCTCAGTGACTTTCATTGAATGGGCAAAAATAAAACAGATAAAAAAAAAAAAAAGGAAAGCTTTTAAATTACAACCCGCAAAAAAAATTGAAGATAAACGAA